GAGAGAGAGAGAGAGAGAGAGAGAGAGAGAGAGAGAGAGAGAGAGAGAGAATGCATGCCTTATAACAGTGGTTGTCAACCGAGGGTACGCATAGGTACTCTTTAAGTTTGAGATTCATATCCAGCCATTACCCTCTGCTCTATGGTGTGTACATGTGTTCACACATACTCCTATATCAATAAGAAAGTAGTGCAGGATAATCCCATGATCCCATGTCCTAATCACAGGTACATCCTCACAGATTTAAAAGGGTGATACTAACTCACAATCAAAAATACTGACTATTTAACATTCATTTGCACGTCCAGGAGTTTAATGTGGTTTAGCTCAGGAGTTGTCAACCGGGGGTACATGTACCCCTGGTGGTACTTGGGAAGACCCCAGAGGGTATGCGGAGGCTTTGTGGAGAAGGGGGGGGACTAGGGAAGTGCACCACCATGCACCACGCCTAGCTGCTGCTGCCGCGCATTGCCGTCGCCTGCCGGCAGTAGCAGCCAGCAGCAGCACCAGCATCCCCCCCAGTCAACCAGCTGCTGGGGGACCCCCCTGCTTGTCAACCTGCTTGTCCCTGCTTGTCAACCAGCCGCTGGGGAACCCCTTCCCCGCTCGTCAACCGGCTGCCAGGGGATCCCTCTCCCCAACGCTCATCCAGTAGGTACAGTCCAGGAGGGGTACCCACCAGAAGGGGTACACTCCTTTAAAAAGTTTGAAAACTCTCATTTAGTGGCATTCTGATATTAGGGTTTAGCTTATAAAAAATAAGTTTACTGGAGCTAAGCAGCTGGGCATTTTCCAATTCTTGGCTGAATCTAGTTTTTTCTTAAGCAGCCTTCTTTCTGAAGGTACTTTGTCTGTCATTGTTTTGTTTCTTGTTTATTCCTGCCTTAAAAACCTCCTCTAATTTAACTGTAATCAAGCAGCATGACATCATACTGATAAAATAAGGTATAGAGGATCATCTTCAAATCTCTCAGTCTTCACAGCAGTAAATAAAGGTTTATTTGGTACTTTGCATATTAAGGAATTAGAATTTCAGTGACAGAATACAAAATATATACCCTTTGGAGTGCTGAAATAAAATACCCCCTTGATTATAGCAGATTTAGAAACATACCTATTTAGAAACATACTGGTTTTCTTTTCCTTACTTAAAGCCTATGCTTTGTTAAATTAGATTTAAAATTTAAATTAGTGAAAATGTTATGTAAGCTATGAAGCAATGTTACTCTGCTAATATAAGGCTACATACCTGAACTCCACCAAACCCATTAGGCGCTAAGTAGCGTTCACATTCAAGAGCAATATCGGTCCAACTCCATTCAAAGAGATGAACAATAGATGTCCTCCCGGGTCTTGTATTTGGATTATATTGTGCCCAACCAAGTGCTACAGTTGCTAGCAGAAAGAGGATCCTCATGGTGCTTTCGATAATAGATTCTGTTTTTCTCAGTAAATATTTGTATTCCTGCAAGAGGGCAAAGTACATATTACAAATTAAACATTTAAATGATTGGCTATTTTTGCATGTTATTTGTTTAAGTTGTTGACCTTTTGTTGGACTATTTTAGAATCATCATCCAGAGAAGATATACCACAACTTGTCACAATAACAAACTTTAAATACATGTTACTAGGTAGGACTCAGGCCTGGTTTGTGTTTTCTTTTGTACTAATATAGTATGTTAGAGGATTTGTTTGTTTATTTTTTTTAATTATATTCATCCCATTCTTAATGTGGCCATAGTTATACAGACAAAGGTGGAACATAGCGTGCTTTTCTTCCAGAGAGTTTTATAAGAGCTTGCATACGAGCAAAATCAGGCTACTTTTAACTATATAGCTATAGTTAAAGCAGTACACCTTATGCACACAGATAAGACATTAACACTTTTATTTCTTAATGCTGTCCAAAAATTCAGTATTTCAGAGAGCTGTGGTGTGCGTGTAAACAGACACAGCAGTTATACCAATGTCAAAGGATACTGATACAAGCTCTTTAAATGCAACTGACAGAGCTGCATGGTGATGTAGTGCTACAACTAGCAAAACTGCTCCAGCATTAACCATGTTTCATACAGGGTCAAAATTAGGGTAATTTAACTAACTGTATCAGCACAAGATCATGCAAATGTAAGTTAAATCAGAATGTGTTCTCAAGCAGCCGTTCCCACTCTGCTTTTAGAGTGGCTAAAACGTACAAACATCCATACCCTTGTTGACAAAATCAAACCTGAACCTAGCATCCGGTTATATAACACTAAAGAGATGTACCTGGGGATTTTGGCACCATGCGCAAGGTTTATGGGGGGAAGGGGAGGTGGGTACTGAGGGCAAGAGAGTGAAGGGGCAGGGGCCGCCTGATTGGGGGGCTCCCACTAGAGACTCAACAGACTAGGGATGTTTCTGTGGCTGCTGTTCCAGCATAGTCTTATAGGATCATAAACAATTAGGGTTAGAAGGGACCTCGAAGCAGGACCATCCTCAGCTAGATCATTTCAGCTAGGGCTTTGTCAGGCCGGCCCTTAAAAACCTCCAAAGATGGAGATTCCATCATCTCTCTAGGTAACCTGTTTCACTTCACCACCCTCCTAGTGAGAGTTTTTTTCCTAATACCCATACTAAACCTCTCTTGCTGCAACTTGAGACCATTGCTCCTTATTTTTGTCATCTGTCACCATTGAGAACAGTCTAGTTCCATCTTCCTTGGAACCACCCTTCAGGTAGTTGAAAGCTGCTATCAAATCTCCTCTCAGTCTTCTCTTCTGCAGACTAAATAAACCCAGTTCCCTCAGCTTCTTATAAATCATTTGACCCAGCCCCTAACCATTTTTGTTGCCTTCTGCTGGATTCTCTCCAACTTGTTTGTATCTTTTCTGTAGTGGACACGGTACTCCAGATGTGGCCTCACCAGTGAAGAATAGACAGAAATAATTACTTCCCTTGATCTGCTAGCAGTGCTCCTACTAATGTAGCTCAATATGATGTTAGCCTTCTTTGCAACAAGGGCACACTGTTGACTCATATTTAGCTTATAGCCCACTGTAACCCCTTGGTCCTTTTCTGCAGAGCTGCTGCTTGGCCAGCTGGTCCCAAGCCTGTAGTAATGCATGGGATTCTTCTGTCCTAAGTGCAGGACTTTGAACTTGTCCTTGTTGAACCTCATGCAATTCCTTTTGGCCCAATCCCCAATTTGTCTAGGTCACTCTGAATCCTAGCCCTCCCCTTCAGCGTAGCTACTACACCCCTCAGCTTGGTGTCATCTGCAAACTTACTCACTCCATCTCATCTTCCAGATTGTTAATGAAGATACTGAAGAAAACCAGCCTCAAGACTGGCCCCTGGGGCACTCCACTTGATACCAGCTGCCAACTAGACCATGAGCCATTGTTCACTACTTGTTGAGCCTGACAATCCAACCAGCTTTCTATCCACCTTGCAGTCCATCCATCCAATCCATACTTCCTTAGCTTGCTTGCAAGAATGCTATAGGAGCCTGTATCCAAAGCCTTGCTAAAGCCAAGGTGCATCACATTCACTGTTTTCCCTGCATCCACAAAGCCAGTTATCTCATCACAGAAGGCAATCAGGTTGGTCAGGCATGATTTGCCTTTGGTGAATCTATGTCAACTGTTCCTGATCACTTTCTCCTCCTCCAAGTGCTGAGAAAAAGATTTCTTGAAGACCTACTCCATGATTTTTCAGGGGACTGAGATGAGGCTGACTAGTCTGTAATTCCCTGGATTCTCCTTCTTCCCTTTCTTAAAGATGGGAAGTGTTATCTCTTATTACTAGCATCACCGCTACTGCACAAGCTCTCCCCTTTCCTCCCCACCACACACACACATCGGCAGTGACTGCTGCAGTTGCTGGCCATGCTCCATGGGACTGCCATTCTGGCATCCCATCCTACAAGCTCATGTTAGATCAACTCAAAAAGCACAGACTGTGAAGGCTTAATTTTTAGGGTTTCTCACAAGGTCTTCACTTGTAAATAAATAGGGAAGAGGCTACTAAAAACTGTAATCTGGTATGATGTGGTAGAATGGGACAAGGTGTATGTAAAGGTCAAATAAACATTCTGCTATCTAACAATCCTCTCTTTACTTAGAATAAAATTATTGGAGAAGAAAAACAACCTGTCTCAATCTTTATTTTTTCATTCTTTCAAACTTATTTAATTGAAGTGTGCCAGTTACTGTTGCAATCAGCTGTTCTTTTATTTGTCATAATTGGGAAAAGAGCTACTTAGAATGAATCATTTGACAAATTTTGCCCATATTTTCTGCTTATGAACAAAACAGATTAATGAAATTATTTATTTGAAACTGTTAGTTTAGAACATGTTTCAGCCTAGGAGTTGTTTATGAGCAGGGTTCATTTTCTGTATTGATCCTCGTGTTATGTCAGCTTGTTCATATGATATGGGTTCTTTGCTCTGACTGGAAGCATGTCTAACAAAAAGCAAGAATACACAATGTAACTCCTATATCTTTGATTTTCTAGGGGGGGGGGGGGATGACATCATTTACAGGTCCAACATTTTTTTATGACACTTTCAAGCATTTTCTTTTCTGGCCATTTGAGTTGCATTTTGTTTTGGACATTGTTGCTAGTAAAGTCAAGCAATTTCATGTATTTATTAATTTTTTTTAGAAAGTTGCATAGTTTTAGCTACAAGAGAACAGTTACGTGCTCTTGGCCATCAAAGTAATGATGCAGACAAAATGTGACAAAAGCTATAAAATAGCAAAAAATAACCAAAAAAAAAAAAAAAAAAAAAGTCTGACAGGAGGTTTAGTGAGGAAGTATAATGAGTTCCTTGAGATGAGTTGGATGATTGATCCACATTCACTAGCAGATTTTGAAATCCCCAATACACCCTAACAATTCTAGCTCCAGAGTGCTATGTAAATAGAATGTAAAGAACAGAAAAACCCCACTACTCCAGGCTGGTGGAGAGAGCTCACAAGATTTCAGCTAAAAAGATACAAGAGAGGGATGACTCTGAAAATCAGATTGAAACCTTCTGGAGATTTCAGAGAGTGGTCACTTTTTTCTGCTAGGTAAAAAAGAAAAACAAAAAACAATGCCCCCCCGCCCCGCCCAAAGTGGGGGTGGAAATGACGCTTACAGCGGACTTACCTACAACAGAGCAGGGCAAGGAACAAATGAGTGTTGAACTGTCTTAAATCATGCTGGCTCTCCCACTCTCAAGATGTCTTCTGCCAATTCAAATATTAACAAATCTCAGTCTTTAAAGCTTATTTTAAATATATGGTTCTAACTAATGTGTTATCTGAATTAAAACATGTCTGGTATATGTTGATATTAGGGCTGGGTGAAACAGCACTGTTCCATTTCGACTTCCATTTTGATGCATTTTGACATTTTGCCCATAGGCTATAATGGGGAAGCACAAAAGTGGAGACCAAGTGCCCTGAAGGAAAATAAGTGGAAACACCAAGCAACAACTGCACACCAGAATGAGTGAACACCAAAAATCTATCAAAGACAACAACAGAACATCACCTGTCTCCAGTCTTTCAGGCCTGATCTCAAAGGGAATTTACAAACCACTTTTCACAGACAAGCCTATGACCTGAACTTCATCAACCTCCTAGGTACAGAAAGTCGTGGACTCGATATAGACATCGGAATTCTGACATGCTACAACCCACCAGACATCTGACTTCCCAGGTACCTCTCCACTTTTACCTGTGCTGCTAACATCCCCAGTCCCCCACCCCAGCCCAGCCTGCCCCCCACCCCATGATGCCTCCATTTCCATTTTCATTGGCTGCCTTTCTTGCCTGCATTGCATGCCAACCTCTGGCTTCTTTACTATTCCTGCCATCCAGGAACAGCATACACACTCACCAACTGCAAGTGCTTCCTCAGCTTGACAAAGGGTTTTTCAACCTGAAAGTTATCATCCCAGGCAGCTAAGCTGAGCTCACTTGGAGCCTCACAACTCCAATGCAACCAGCAAGCCTCAGGCCTGTCAAAGATGTGATGGGTCTGGGCTTTCCCCACCCAGGACTCTGTGTGTGTGTGTGTGCATTAGCTGGAGGTTATGGCACCTCCTACCCATCTTTCACCAAGAAGATCCTCGGTCCTGGCATTTCCTGGGGCTGCTGCACCACCAGCAGTCCCACCAGGCCTGCCCGACCCTGGCAGAGTGCAGTTTTAGCGGTTATGCCCAGGATCTGGGGCCTTCTCCTTCCCCATACCCCAGCCCATACTTCCAAGCTTGTCCTGACATGGAAGCTCAGCAGGGACATGTTCTTTCCCTGCTGCCTGGTGATGGAGTGAGTGCCACCTCGATCTCTGAGAGCCCGATTAAATGGCTTTTAAAAAATGAAAAAAAGGAAATAGGTGTGGACAGAATGAAGAGGGTGGCATTCATTCCGTCTGCACCGGGAGCTTCAGGAACATCAGCAGCGGGAGGTTCACCTTGAGGAACACTAGCTGCTCCACTAAACCAGGATCCAAGCAGGTGCAGTGGGGTATCACTACATCCCCAGCAACATTGAATTGTCTCACTTGGAACACTGGTCGGTGGACAGGACTGGTGTTTGTGGGCAATTGTGGCCAGATCCGGCCACATCTGTCTGCAGCTTGCCCAAAAGGCCAAGAGATCACACAGCAGCAGCTCCACATCCTCGGCAAAATAGGCAGCCACTGAGGCCAGAGTGCTACTGGCCTGATGGTGGTGTCTGGTGCATCTAGACCCCACCATGGAAGCCATGCCCTTGGCCCACATTAGCAGTGCCTATGATGGAGGAGAAGACTGGCTGGTGGATGGTGTGCTAGCACGGGACAGTGGATCCCCCTCTTCCATGTGTTTCTGCCTCCCTGACTCTCTTCACTGGCACCTCCATTCACTGATCCAGGGTTTGGCTGCTGCATATGCTGCTACATGGACCATACTGGACTGCAATAGTTCAAGCCATTTCCTGATGCTCTCTTTCAGCTGCCTCACCAGTGCCTGCATGTCTAGTGACAGCAGCTTGTCCCAGCCTGGAACACTGATCCCCTGGAAGCTCTCCATTTGGCTTTGCAGTTCCTTCTCTACAGGGATCATCTGGCTAAGGAGGACATCACCAGTGCTGAGGGTCTCAGTGGCCTCAAGGAAGGGCTTGAAGACCACCACCATCTGGGAGATGGTATCCCACTCAGCTCTGTTCAAGGGGCTGCTGATCCCAATTTCCCCAAGCAAGGCCATCTTATGGATGGTCTTCTGTTGCCTCACCAACCTCTTGAGCATCAGGTATGTGGAGTCCCACCAAGTCTCAACATCCTGCATGATTTTGTGCTGTGGGATGTTCAGCTCTTCTTGTTTGTCCTGCAGCATCTTGCTCCCCCTGATGCTCTGGTGGGACCACCTTGACCATATTAACTCCATTGTTGGTGACCATGAACCCACAGTTAAGTTCACCCTGCACCAAGTGGTTCATGGTAAGTTACCACAGGTAAGATCCACCCCTGCACCAAGTGGTTCATGGCCCCCATGATCTCTGTTGCTGTGTAGGACTCATCCATCACCTTGGCTTAAAGGAGAGCCCACCGATGTCCTGACTGGTTGCACCAGTGCCCTGTGAGGGAGAGGTAGGTGTGATCTCCACCACAGGTGCTCCAGATGTCCAAGGTGAAGTGTAAGGCCACATGTGGGCCTGCCTTGTGCAGCTTCTCCCTCAAGTACTCCCTGCATGCTTCATGCAGGGAGGGCACCACCGTCCTGCTGGAGGTGGTGTGTGCAGGCACTTGGTAGGATGGGGCCACAAGCGCCATGAGCCAACTTAACCCTGGACGCTCAACTAAGAAGTAGGGCTGGCCATTGACACCAAGCATCTCCCCAATGCTCTGAGTGATCTCGCTTGCTCTTGCAATGCATCCCCCTTTCTATCCATCTTTCCCCAACTGTTCCAGGGTGGCCTGTCTCTGCTTTGAAGGTACAGGGGCTTTGGAGCAAGAGGGGGACTTCCCTTTGGACACACTCCCACTCATACCAGGCTGAAGAGGAGCAAGGGCAAGGGGGTGGTGCCTGCAGAGATGTATCAGCATCCCTGTGGTGCTCATGTGTTTTGTTCTCTGGCTGGTTTTGGCTCAGCACTGCAGGTAGACAGCATACATGGGATCATCTGCCAGCTCAAAATGATCCCACACCATGCTACCCGCTCGCTTCTGGGGTGTGGATGCATGTGTCACTGCAGTATCTCCCTCCTCAGCAGGCAGAGGCACAGCAACTGGAGAAGTGGACTCAGCTGAGCCGCTTGCCTCCACAACCTTTACTGCAGCCTCCTCTGAAGTGCTTTCTGGGGAAGAAAACCTGGCTCTAGGGGAAGCTTGAGGGGTGTGGAGCACAAATTTCCCCCTCCTTCCCCAGAATTTCCTTTTCTAGATCCAGCTCCAGCTCTTCCTCTGGCACTGGAAGGCTCAGCATGGGAAGTGAAATGGGGGTGAAGGAGACTGTCATGTGTGATGGTGCTGCTGCTTGTTGTCATGGTGGTAGTGGTGGGGTTTATGGCTGGTCATCCTGGAGGGGATGCAGTCTCAGGCACAGGCAGTGGCACTGGCACTGCTCCCCTCTCCTTGCTGCTTCTGAAAGCCTCATCCCTGCTAGCTATAGGAAAGAGACTGCATCTTAGTTTGGAGGGTGGGGAGACTTACACTTCTCCCTCTACCCTCTACCACCCCCCCTAAGGTCTTGCCAGCTGCCTTTTCCACCACGCTTCATGGTGTGTTTCGTAGTGTCTTGTTTATATATATATATATATAGAGAGAGAGAGAGAGAGAGAGAGAGAGAGAGAGATTTGTGTTTCTATATAAATTCTATAATGTATGTAATATGCTGCAAAGTATAAATGTATAGAAATAAAATATAAATGCATCTCCCTTCCTATATAAATTCTATAGTGGAATATCCAATATAATTATAAAATTGAAAAGAATAAATCAGTGAATATAATAATAAAATAAAAGGGTATAGAAGAAAGCAAAAGGTATTGTGGAATCCCACTTGCTAGGCTAGCAAGTAGAAAATCATTCAAATCAATGGTAGTAGTAGCCTTTGCTGTCTAACACTACCGAGCTGCTGGAAGATAGCTCAGTAACTGTCAGACCACAAGGCAGAAAGCAGGCCAGTTCAAATAATGCTGCCTTTTACATTGTTCTTCCATCCCTCCCCCAGAGCACTGGGATTGGAAGGGACCTCAGGGAAGGATCACAGGCACTGGCCAGCTACACAGTCAATATGAGAGCAGTCCTTCCCCTCTCTTCCCCCTCCCTCTCCTTACTTTCTGTTTTCCTGCAGGCAAACCCAGCGTGAGCTTTGAAATTTGAAACATTTCAAAACTTTTGAAATGTTTCAACTGCCCTCGTTTCGTTTCAAGGCTGTTTTGAAGCCCTTTGCTTCATTTCGATTTTGCTGTTTTGAGAAATGAGTCAAAACACCATTGAAACAAAACAGCTGGCAAAATTTTGCACAGCCCTAGTTCATACACAAATGTCACAAAAATATAAGGCAGAAAAAACATGATAATAGCAGAAAATGAAAATTCTTAGGAAACAAAAATTAGACTGTCAATGTTACTTTCTTATCTTAGTGTTTTGAACTTTATTTTAGAATGTTTTATAATACCCTATGCAAATTTCCGAGATTTCAATAGGTCTAGATTAGAATTTTGTTAATTCAGCACTGACCAAAATTAAAAATGTTTTTCAAATCTGTTTAAGATGCATTTAATGGAAAATTGTTTAAATAAGTTTGTGGAAAGAGGGGTGTATGCATGTATGCATGAACTAAAGCAGCATTTCATATAAGTGAAACAAACCATAATAACTCTTCTTGCATGCTTTCATAATTTAACTGATCTAGATGTGTTTTAATGAATAAAGACAGAGCATCTCATCAGAGGTAACTCCGTTTTACTTGCACAATTGACTCACTAATCCTTATTCTGTTTTCTCATCAGTTAATCTGGCATAATGCAAATAGAGTAACTCAGTCAAATTTAAGCAAAAGTTATATGTAGAAACCAGACCTGTTATATCCGAGGCATATCTTAAGCAGAACTTAGATGTCTTCAGAGGAAAGTAATTAAACTGCCATGTAATCATTTTAGAATTTATCTAATCAATAATTTGCTATCCGAATGTGGCAGCATTCGTTTTTTTAACACTTGTTAAAAGATACACTATTCCCAAATATGGAGTGCT